GGTTAATGGCAATCCCGCCTTCCGGTCATTCGACAGTCTGCCACTTGACGTTACAATTGACGTCGTTAACGCAGTCAAGGGCGGTAAAAGTAGTCGCCTAGAAGAGAGCAACATGGAAGAAAATAAATATTCGCCAAGCACTGAAAATAGCAATATAACAAAATGAATGGACACAACGAAATGTATACTCACCAGAAATGAAGTGAAATTACTTGGGTAAAAGATTGATAGATATACTGCAACCAAATTTTTGAGATATTTGTTGTGAAGAAATTCAGACATGATAGACAGATAAAGCTATATTCTCATGTAAGGTTATCAAACATGTATTACACACATACTAGAATAGTATCATTACAATATACATAGTGTTTAACTAGCGATTCATTTATAGATGCTAGAAATATACATTGACCAGCATTTCATGTTGCAAACTTATTTAAGCTGATTCAGGGACATTATGTCCCCGGCTACGGAGAAAATGAACGGGTGGAAGATGTAAAGACTGCATATGGATAAAGAAATGAAGACAGACCCTGAACTTTCATCTTTTAGCCTGATCAATAAGGGTCCCGGTCTTTCTTCAGTTAGGAAGATCATAACCTTTTAATTCCATTGCAAAAAGCTCAAAGGGAACTAAAACTCCACATAATAGTTTTTCTTAGGGAAAGTAGTCCGGAGAATTGAGACTGAAGTAGATCCGACTTAGGACACAATAAAAGATAGAACCATATGAGGAAGAAATTGTTCTATATTGATGACATTTTTAAAATCTCTATTTTTCTATTTTTTCCTTATACATATATATTATATTGAGCAGAAATTCGCCATATTAAAAACAAAATGACTGCTATGCTAATTAGCAAAATGTACTCCATTTCGCCATAATTATGCACTTCGTGCAAAATACGAAACGGGGAAACCATTTCGTGCAATTTTTATCCTCGGAATGGAAAGAAGATTTCCTTACGTCATATGGAGTCAAGATATTAAATTTCATTGCAAAAGCTTACAAAGAAACAAAATTATCTAGAAACAATTTTATACAGTATATAATTGTTTGACATTGAACTTTTGACCTCAAAATCATTAGGGCCTTTTTTTAGTAATGGGAAGTTACAGTATATAAAAGTTCTTTGCAAAAACTCAAAGGAAACTGAAGTTATCATTTGGAAACCATTTTATGCAATGTATGAATTTCTGACTTTGACCCTTTGATTTCAAAATCAATAGGGGTCTTAATGAAAAAGGTGAAGATAACGAACAGTGATCGATCTCTAAAAATCTATAAACAATACAAATCTGTGAACAGGGCATAAAACACGGACCCCTGGAATTACAAGAGGTGGGATCAGGTGCCTAGAAGGGGTAAGCATTCCCTGTTGACTGGTCATATTCGCTGTGAGCCCTATGTATTGATCAGGTAAACGGAGTCAAATTCAGTATAAAAACAAAGGCCTAACAATTGGTATGAAACAAGTGAGCCACAATACGACCCAATGATAGGTTATATTTGCTAACAATGTCATTATAAAGACCATAGAATTTACGAAATGCTGACTTTAAACGAGGTTGTTGAAATTCCTGTAACATCAACTTATCTGTCAGTAGCCTGTCTCGGTTTTAAAATTGATCGTACTCGGAGCATACTCTTGAGTATCGAATAAGTTGGGAAATGTAAACACCAAATGCAGGTGATATCGGGATTAAGGAAAGTTGACGATGGAAAAGCAGAAGTCATCTCGTCTGTCATACAATTTAGTTGTTAGTTGGCCCTTATCGTTTATAGTCAGTAAAACATCCAAATATGAAACAGATGTGGCAGACTCTGTGGTGTCTTTTATTTCAAGTTCACTGGAGTATATCAAGTCAACTTATGAATGGAAGTAACTATTATTTTACAAATATAGACCTTTTATGAGGTTGATCCATAGATATATCGACTTCACAGAAAAGCATATCGACTGAGCACGAAGTGCGAAGTCAATTTGTTTTTCTGTGAAGTCGATATATCTATGGATTGACCGAATCAAAGGGCTATATTTGTTATTTTATTTTCTTTGGAAAAGAAAGATGCAAACAAAAATCATTATGTAGGAATTTGTAAGTTTAAAAGACTTTTCACCATTATAAACACATCTTTGGATTTTCCTTAAGTTATTTGTAGTAACTCAAGTCAATATCGTAAAATATAATTTTGCATGTGATAGCAAGCAAACCAATCAGATTTATTGAATTACACAGTACAAATAATATTAATTGATAATACATCGTCGATGTATCTAAATGTCGAGTTGAAGGCCACAACAAGTGTTTTCTTCTTCTCATGTGGAAGTTTTTGAATGAATTCTGCTTCATAGGTATATGAAAACAGGTCGGCTAATAAAGGAGCACAGTTGGAGCCCATCGAAATTCCAACCCTTTATTGGAAGACCCGGTCCGCGAAGTGTAATAAATGTTATCAATGAGGAACTCCAACATCCTTGTAATATTTTGACTTCAGGGTACTTGTGTAGGTCATAGGGAATTCCAAAAATTAATAATCAATAAATTAATTAATCTGTACACAGTACATGTACATATGTATATCAGCTTGGACGCTGGCGTGTTCCTACGGAAGATATATATCATGTCTTTTTGTTTTGTTTGCTTTGGATTTATTTTGCGTTGCTTGGAAGCAAAAAAAGGTAACCGAAAAGATCTGAAGTCACACATTGTACGTTTGATGATCATACTTAAACTGCAAGATAGTTCACTATATTCTTGGGCAAACTTTCGAAGTTTCCTTTTCAATCATTGATTAACATTGTTCATTTTCATGATAAACAAGCGACAGATTAAATTTGGAGACCCCATCCCTTGAAAAATATCCTCTTAATTAGAAACTCCCTCTGAATCATAGGAAGTCCATCCTTATTCTGTTCATTTATCGTAACCTTTTAGTTTTCTTATTCTTTGAGACTGAACACTTGGCTTCATTTTTAAGAAAAAAAGGTGGTAAGGCTTCCCCCGGATATGTCAAACTTAAGAGGAAAAATATCCAGATTCCCTAATTTTAAGCTGAATTTGATACTCAAAGAAATGGCAAATAATGGGACAAAATTTCTTACGTTGGAATGGAAGCAAGGCCAAATTATTTTTGATCATTTCAGGGTCATACTTTTTGTTATAACTACATCCCAACCCCACCCCTCACCATGAAAACAAATCTTCGAATTCATTGTTGTTAAATTCGTGATTTTTGTATAGTAGCATTTCTATCTACAAAGCTAAATGTAGAAAAAGGAGCTTATTTGCAAATTAAAACACCCATTGAAGCCAGGACATTTATTTTCAACTGAAATACTAGTAAGGCCAGGTTATTTACTTTCTTATCACTCAGGCCAGATAATTTATCTTCGGAAAACTTCCACCTCCACCCCAAATCACATCAAGTAGCCCCTCCTTACCAGAACATTATACACTAGTTATTGCATACTTCTTCTTTACTAAAATTATCGTTAAAATTCATAGATACGCAGACTCCTGTGCAATGACGTATATCTAGTGAGATGTCTTTAGAATACTTAAGTTACTTTCTAGACCCTCATTTTTATCCGTCACATGTATAAAGGCTATTCTTTCGAATATAGATGTGCTATTTAGATCATATGCCAAAATTAAAAAAAAAAATTTAAAAACTTTTTAAAATAATAAATATGATGAAGAGTCAATTTATTTGTCATTCATGTTTATTTTTATTTTTTTTTTCAATTCGAATCTTGGCATAATCTTATTCTTTAAAATTATTATTATCTTATATTTACATTTTCAGATGTCTTTGTCCGAGATGAAATGTAGCCTTATATCTTCATAAAGCCACTTGCTCCTCAACTGACGGAACTGCCTTCTCGCTGTGTGTGGCATAGTAATACACAGAGCTGAGCTTGCAGACTTAGATATTTAATAATTGAATAAAAATAATATAAATATTTCATTTTTAAAAATTAAGTCAAATGAGAATATAAGGAATAACTTTTTTTAAGATGATGATCAGACAGTTTGCTCACAGAACTGCCTTCTCAGTAATACACTTGGCGGAGATTTCTATTATTAAATAAAAAATAACAAATATCTCATTATCTTTTATTGAATCAAGGATCAGGTAAAAATGTAAATATAAGGAATAATATTTTGATATATTTTTTTAATGATGATGCTCACATGATAATTTCATGAATAAACGCTTTCGGCATTTATGCAAATTATCACGTGAGCAAACTGTTTAGTCATAGCATAAAACCAAGAACTAGAGTGATTCCTTAATTTCATTCCCGCGATATACTTTTGCTATATATCTTTTGCTTTTTCTTAATCTTAAAAATATATACTGAAACATCAAAATGTTATCCATGGAACGATTTTGCTGAATTGTGTTGCAGGACTGAAGCTTGCGTACCGCCCCCTGGTGAGATATTTAGGAAAGATAAGTAAAGAAATCAAAATATGTTCTTTGTTCACTTCGGTATTATACATGCAACTGAACCCCTTCTGAGCTGCACTTAATCAAAGAAAACTCCTGCATTTTTGGCAATTCAGTACATCTTTGAATTTTAAATTTGAAAACTTTATGTTTGATAAAATGACAAGCTTTTTAAAAACAACACCAAAGAAGAAAACCTCCTTACCAGACGTTTCATCTAAGAGTGCAAGACAAAAGTACTTTGCAAAAGACCGTAGCACAGACGTGTCCAAGTAGACTGAATTACTAGTATTTCACTTAAATTTCGGTTGATAAAAGAAGAAGTCAAGCGATAAATACCAGTACATTATTATCTTTCATCCTCATTTTTATTAATACCACATTTTTAACAAAAAATAAACCAATCCATACGATGACTTAGTTGCAGGATTAGTATGCAAAGTTTTGGAGAAAAATACATATAAAAATTATATAAGTTTTAACTGTACCATACTTAGATGTTTTCTCCCTGAGATTCCTGTAATTATATACCCAGTAGTGTACAAAGAACACATCAATGTATGTACTTCAATGAATTTTCAGGTACTTTGCAAATGCCAACATTGTTGTAGAATAAGTATATGCATCAGACGACCAGAACGGGAAAAATCCTGTCGGGGAATCAAGGGGGTTAAACCCAGGAAAGTCGATGGGGGTTTTCTTCCCAAAATGAGGCTCTGAGAGCAGACGATTGTATTCAGCGTCAGACGCAGTTCCTTGGAATCCCACAAGAAATGGTCCATGAGGCAGCGCAGTGTCATTGAAATGAGTCCCATTTAAATATTGTCTGCGATTGGCTGGGTACCAAAACGGCATACTCTGAAATACATATATGATCAAACATGAAGCAAAACTTTTTGAGGATTATGCCCCCCCCCCCCCAATCATGCACACGCCAATTTTCCACCTAACAGTTATTGCCAGAGTAGAGAATCAGATTACTTTTCATTCGAAGTGCTTGTATTTCACAATATCAAACCCGTGTAGTGTATATGTATTTCATCTCATAAATAACATATGTATCTCTCAGAGAAAATTCAAATTATTGGAATCAGTAAGAATGACAGTGGAAAGACACAAAGTTGGATAGCAGACTTGTCGAAATCCGTCGGTCCTGTCGGCAAGGCCGATAAAAATTTGTCTGGACCGATAACTCTCAAGAAAATGTCGGTCCAAATGACCGTTTGAAAAAAATCTCGAGTGAAGCAAATTTTAAAAAGATCGGGTTTGTGGTGCGCAGGCGAAAGTCACAGAAACAGCAGAAATGGCCGTGTGGTGACGATGGTCGATTAAATTTGTTACAGCAAAGACATAAAACGTGCCATTTATGTCTCTGATTAAAGATTCTCTATTCTAAGAAAAGAAACTTGTGAGATTGAAGGCTGTTGAAAATAATAAACGGCATTTTAGTGCAGTTTTTATCTTACTTTCTCAGCGTCAAAATAAAGTACGTATATCTGGTCTGACAAAACTTCGTCCGGTCCAGCAGAACATTTGACTTTGTCAGACAAATGTCTGACAATGATTTCAAAATTTCGACAAGTCTGGGATAGGCATATTATCGATATAATTAAAATAAATAAGATCATTACATGTACAAAACAGTTTCTGTCAGATTATCTCTGGTTATAGTTTCCTAAACTGAAGCCTCTTTAAAAAACCAAACTTCTTTGGAAATAATTTTGGTCTTTTTTTTATTTTTGATAGAAACTAGCTTGTATCACCGATTACACCTACCTGTATCCCTTTACCAGAACCTGAGAAGAAGGGATTCCATGGCTTCAGATGTGTGCCAAGAATATTGTCGTTTAACCATCTCACACCCTGCTGGATCGTTTGGTTCACTGAAACCGGCGTGTCTGTTTCAAGCACAAAGAAGTCTTCATCATCAATATACAAAAAAGACCCATTGGTTAAAACTCTAATCAAGTTATCTTGAGCTACATGTAGATCCAAGTACGTCACCTTCTAAGAAAACAAGTCCACCGTCCGTAGATTTTGTCCAGACGTTGATAAGTGTATTGACAACCATTGACGTTGTAAACAACCTGTCTTCGCCATTTTTCTGATGAAATGAAAAAACAAGTAAACAGAATTGCATTGAAAAAAAAATTGTAATATTTCATATTACAGGTATAATGAATTCTTCGTGATCCAATACTTTAAAAAAAATGTTTATCGAGTATTTTAAATTAACCAATAAATTTCTCAGAGAGTCATCAATTATGACAATTACAATCATTTGTCCTTTGGAGTTTATATCACCATCTCCAAGAAAATCATCAAAGAAGATTCCCCCGTCCTCGGATTTCGACGCTTCGTCCAAAATGTCATCCGTAACTTCGTTTTTCATGGCGATTTCAAGCCTTTGCATGACATCTTCAAGCATCTTTTCCAAAAAGAATAAGCCATTTTTATTGGAAATGGGAGGAGGGATTAAATGTTTTGGGAGGGATTAAATGTTTTGTATGGGAGAAACGTCAAATACTCAAATTCTACGATACCTTGAATGGCAGAGGGGCTTTTTGGTAAAAGTCACGTAGGGTTGTCAGAGTTCGAGAGGTAAACCAGAAACATTCAAACTTAGATGGATAGTATGTCAGTGCCAAGTCTCGTCGAGACGAAAAATTCCTCGTTATTTCGTAAATTATCAAATCTACTGTATCTCTGTAAATTTTCTGTAATAAAGGTTTCAATATGGCTTACCAGCATGTGTGTGATCTTAAATTGTGAATCACGCTCTGAATAACAAGAAATATCAGATTTACAAAATGAATTGGTATTTTGAAAGTTAACATCTCTAGAAGTACCTCAATATCGCTGTCAAAATCACTTGGTTTAAAAAGACCAGCGAGTAAACCGGAAGTCAGACCGTTTATGGTATTGGTTGCTACAGTGACGTCGACGTTATTGACCCAAAACGGCATAGCCACACCTTTATCGCTAAGCTTTAACGCTTCATCTGTATCTTGTACCTAGAAAGCAAATAAGACAAAACCTCACAGTCATAGATATCTCGGCTGAGATTCGGCTTGGCTGGATATTTGACTGACGCCTTCACCAAACTAAAGGAATTGGTCCAAATACCCAGCCGCGTCGAATCTCAATCGAGATTAAGTTTGGTTATTTGTTACAGAATCTACGTATTCTCAACATACCCATGTTGGAACAAATACTGCATTCGATTTATTGGCATGCGCAAGATACCGGTGAAGATAGAAGTACGTCCTCGTATCAATGGTGTTCACTCGAGTGTTGTTAGAGAGGGGTCTATAAGCATATTTCTTCAGCGCCTGCAGCACTGAGGTAACGTTTGAATTTGTGTCCCTCCATTTATTGTACAAGTCAACATATTCGGGAATTCCTTTCAAGAGGGAACCTAGCCCTATGTTTACGAAGGTATCGTCAAAATCTGGTGGGATATGGAATGCTGCAGAAAATATCCCTCTAAAATAAATAAAATCTTTAATAACTGTTATCACAAAGCATATATCTAACAAAGATATCTATGGTAAGTCTGATCATTGTAGTGCTCGTACAGACTCACTTTTCTTTAAGCAGAGTTTCCATGACTGTGGCCACGTCTTTCAGTCCTATCAGTTTAAGCAGTTCCTCCACCGTCTTGGCCGGGAATTTGTCGGTCATATCAAACAGCTGTAACAGATTCTCTGGAGTACTCTGCCAAGTCTTGGTTGTGTCATTGTAAATTTGAGGCCAGAACGTCATCACAGATGTGTTGTAGTTTACATTTTTGTCGTGGTACTTTCCTTAAATTTATACCTTTTTCGTTATCAAGTATTTAGTGCAACTTCACCAACGTTCAACAACATTTACTAGATTCTTCTCTCGGAGTAGATAGTCAGTATCTTACCTATAGCTTCTATGGCTAAATCTATCTGCTCTCTCTTTGGTTTGAATTCCCCACCTAAAGCCTGGATTTCCAAGAGACATGCCGTAATCCAGGCCGTCACAAACATGTTGTTGTCGTTAATTTCGAAGTTTTCACGGATAGCAGCCATTTCGGGTGTTCCGTGAAAATTCAACTTCACGACACTTTCATATGTCCCTTTATTGAGTGTCCATGGTAACAGAAGCGGTTTTGAGTCCTTCTTTGGTTGACGGTCCTCTATTTTTGAGCTTAGAGCTTCAATAGTTTCCTTAATTGTTCTTTTAAACAGAAATCCATTACTTTCATTTACAAAGGGAAGCAAAACTACTATGAAAATCACAAGCACGCCATGAAAGTCCATTTTGGTTCGAAATAAAAGTCGACCAGATCCTTATCACTTTTTAGTATCCTTTTCTAGGGCGAAGTTCAACGAAAGATAAAATTCCTGTAAAAGTTTGGTGTATTTTGATATTTATGACCGATCTTCGGTATGTTTAGAGTTTGTTCACTTTATGATATTAGTGATATTAGCAAGATGCACTCTACTGGATAGATTTCAGTGAAAAGGCTCAAAAATCGAACGACCAGTAATGAAGAAACCACACCGGAAAAAGAACTGGACGAGCTTGACTGTTTTTGTTATCTCCTGTGCTCTAACGTTTCTCTTTGGTAGGTCTTAACAAATGCGAACTTCTAGCTAACTTTCTACTCTTGTTTGATCTTGGTCCACTATTCCCGCTACAATCTACTCAAGGTCATTCTTAAGTGTTTCAGATGCATTACAAGACCTATCGCTATGGCAACCATCCAGTAGTAACCATGTCAGAAACTATATCTGCAAGGGAGGTAAAATTTCAGAGTAAGTTAAAATTCGAGGTTGTGTAAGTTTGGAAATGCTATTGAAAAAAAAAGAGCTTTACATCTGCAAAGCAGGTAAATAGGGATTATTTTACGGTGTGATTGCGAAACGAAGTGCAGAAGACTTCTGTTTAATTTTAGGTCATTCTTTGAAAGCAAATGTATCCAAAATCTTATTGATGACTTACATGAGAAGTGGATCGTCCTTCGTGGGAGAACTCCTCAAATTTGGTGGAAATGTCTTCTACGTATTCGAGCCTTTCTGGTCGGTGTATGAGAAGTCATTCCGCACGAACAATGAAGTTTGTTTCCGAAACGGAACTTGTCAGTAAGACTCAATACAGAATGCGACATTGTTATACCTTTCAAATTTGTTTCCTATATTTAAATATTCACTAAAAAAGGTCTGATGTTTCCAATGTTTTTCTGAGCTGTCCAAAACAAATCGATGTTAGACCGCTGAATGAGATACAAGACCTGTCGAAGAGATAAAGGACCGCTATGGCTTTTTTTTGTTTGTTAGGTTTTTTGTTTGTTTTTTTTTTTTCAAACTGTAGGCAGGATCATCGATTATCTTATCAATTATCGCAGAAATAGAAGCCAGCGCAAGACACTAGTATGTCAAAATAAAAGTAAAAGGTATAACAAAACATTTATTGACAGTGTTCTCGGGCAAAATGCGTTTTATCTACCCCTTGAACCAAACTGTTTGCCTTCGGTTTCAAGCAAACAGTTTGGTTCTTGGGTCCGACAAATCGCATGTTGCCCGAGAACACAGTCTTATAATAAATGTATTACATAATTATTAAGTACAGATCGAACTAGTTGGACAATGTAAGATACAACTGTAAAATCTACTTTTTTTCAGTATACCGACCAAACAACTGCACAAGACCAACAAAACTATGTCAATTATAGAGGCGATTTTTGACTGTCGAATTTCTGACCTGCCTCCAGAGGTTCTGAAGAGTTTTGCAAGTTTTCCATACACAAGTGGGTACAGCAGACGATGTAAATCGATTCTGTCCAAAAGGCAATTATGGAGACAAAGGGGGAATCGAAAGAAACAAGTTCTTCATCAAAACAGAAAAGACTGGTGTTTTGCTCGCTGGAAAAAGAGCCTGCAAGGAAGCGAGTGCACGCGTTATCAAGACTATTCGTCTGTCACCGCGGCTTCTTACGGCAGTAAAATCATTTGTATATGACGTTAAAGTAGTACATTTGATTCGACATCCGCTGGGTATTTTAAACTCTCGTAGAAACATCGGTGAAGTTAATGACCGCAATATGTATTTATCTGCCCGTCACTTGTGTCACCTCATGGAAAAAGACGTTCTCTATGTTAAGGATGAAATGAGACAGAGAAATGACACGGTGGTGCCATTAACTTTTGAATGTATGGTTTCGAATCCAACCCTTGTGGCTAAAAAATTATTTGGTCTTCTTGGGTTGAATTATTCCAAACAGACAGAAAACTGGATTCTAGAGCACACCACTCACCGCAGTGGAAAAACTGGTTTATATTCACCAGATACTAAAAAACAGACGGCTGGCATTTCTAAAGATTCTTTCTACGTTCGTAAAACCGAGTCTAGCAATGTAGCCAATGCATGGAAAAACACCCTGCCTAAAAAGGTTATCGAAGAAGTGGATTTGATTTGCAATGATATGTACAAAGAAACTGGATTTTATGCATCAAATGCCAGTTTGGACTTGTCAACTTATGACAACATTTTTTGTTAAGCAGAAAGAAAACTCTGTAAAAGGTTAGAGACGAAACCAATGAAGTCGTGTCACCAGACACCTGTATGATGGGACAACAGGGAGATGAATTTTCCCTCTGCTTAGATACTGATGTAAAATATACAAAGCATTCTATCAGAACAAGATATGAAAACAATTCACTAGTATCTTCCTCACCTTTATAAAGAACATTTCTTATATTTCATCATTTAACAGGATACCAACTATAGAAGTGACGTCAACATTCTGCTGTAACTCAGTTTTTTGTTGACTGACGTCACACAGTGGTTGAGGTGTAAATTTGCTTCGAGGAAAACATTAAAATAACTGTTGAAGGTATATGAAACTACCTAATTTGACGTTAGATGTGAATCATAAAATATATTTCATCTTAAAAGAGGTTAATGTGTTCTCTCTACCATTTGAAACATCTTGCCCAGTTTGCGGGAAATAGATTACTACATTGTACAGTAATCGTAATGATTCAACATTTGCCAATTTAAAAATCAAAAGTCAAAGCCAACTATAAAGCTTGTTTTTAGTTAGATTGAAGATTATACTGTAAATTAGACACCCGCAACTGCATGCACCAGCTTATTTTTAAACAAATTTAAAAGGGGAGTCCGATGCATCTTTATTTATTTTTTACGGATGTACATCGATAAATTCTATTCCTATATCCATTTTTCTACCTAGAAAAAAAATATTTTCAATATTTTGCTACAAAATATTATTACAATATACTGCATTAAGAAATAACTACCAATGAAACGTACCCAATGTTTTTCTTTTAACATTATACATGTATCTTGTATCGGCATTTACAGTGTTTGCAAAAGATTTATTGCACACTTGGGATGCATCAACAAAATAGAAATTGACTAAAATGCAAATTACAAATGAAGAATGTATTATGAAAATAAATCGACGGAACGGATTTCTCCTATCAGCTGCCTATGAGAGCTCATCATCAGTTTGATTGAATAGTGGTTTCCTTTAAAATAATTTGAACTTAAGGTTCAATGATACTCTGACAAGAGAGATTACTCGTAATGACATTAATTTCTATCATTCCTTTATAAATTTCTCTCCTTAAGGTCAAGATCTAGTAAATGAAAGGTGCCTACAGATTTCTTAAATTTGAGAAATAAATTCCTTTAATGATGTTTTATAACTTTAGCTTGGTATAGCTTGTAGGTAAACAAGACGAAAAATCATATTTTAAACTGTCATTTTCAATGAAAATTTCAGAAAACAAGTCATGAATATGGGAGTTTTTTTTTCGTATCAGACAAAGGAAATGTATCCAGATTGCCTACAGTCTCTCAGAAAACGGTAATTTGTATGTTCTTAGTCTCTTCTTTAAAATAATATTAAATTGAATATAGGTATCGGGATTACATTTCACATGATCTCAGAGGGTTTATGAACCTTGATAAATGTTGAAAAGAATATCACATTTAAAGTCTAGAACTAGATTCAATAACATGTTGCAGCTAAATATTTACCAAAAGGATAATACAAAAATACGAAAATTCTTCGAAGAAAATTTATTTCACATTTGCTTACAACCTATAGTGTACAAAACATAATTAAACAAATCATAAGTGCTTGTAAAGTATATTATAACAACTGGCATGACAAAAAAAGTATAATATATAAATACGACATGACTGGCTACATGGGTCTCTATATGACAATAATTTATGACTATTGGTTGTGATATCACATCAAATGTAAAGATAATTGACTAATTCATATCTTGCTCTCTGTTTTTGTTGTGCATAGAATGCACATAAATTCTTTTTTGCTTACATTGAAAGTGTATACATCAAAAAAATAAAATAAGTACTTTATAACATCAAGAACTATATGCAGAAATACTGTATTGACATGATGTCATCTGTTCTTAAAGGTTCAAACTTAAGAAAATGAGTACATATGAAATGAAGTTTGTAAATTAATATCTATATTGTGTAACCATCAGAAGTTTCCGTTGAACTTTTTGTGTAATTGCCATGTAGATAATAAAATACTGGAAAGAAAAGAAACACACAAAATCAAAAATCATATTCACAAAACATCTTGGCACAAAACGTTAATCAAAAAAATGTAATATTTCCTAACACAGCAGGCTTCACATACTAAGTTTTCTCATATACTAAATGTAGTATATGTGTAACACAAAGCAGTTATCAGATTATTACTAAGGCACTATATGTGTATTTAATAGAATGCATTCTTCAAAAGAAATGGTACACACAAACGAGTTTTCTTTTTACCAAATTTCATTGCATTTCAAAGGGACACAACTCTAAAAAGCCCCCCTTCTCCTGAGACATTGACATGAAATAAACATAAACAGCTGACTGGAATGTTAATTTCTCACACACTGAGAATTGAAATCATGTACAATGTGGAAACTGAAAATCAAACAGCCACTCAATGATTGTGCTAACAGCTTATATACTTGTTGTAATACTGTTGGATTTCATCAATGTGATCTATACAATAATTACACACTTTTAAGTGTGTATACTCAGCAGTATTTATAAATTATATCTCAAATCTTCCACACTACAAAAATAAATATGGTACATTAGTATTTCCCTCAAAAATTAACATTGGTTTAGAATGAGAAAAAAAAATATAATGCCATCAAAAAATGGTCACTTCTCACAAACAGAGGAATGCACTGCAAACAGTATCTGACAAAAAATGCAAGGAATGTGGTCCAAAAATGGAATGTTTTGTTTTCGTGAAATCCAGCAGTCCATATTAGTTTTTACAATATTGCTTAGAATATCACAGGCAAATACTTGAAAACTGACTTCAATAACTGAATTAACTGCCATCAAAAATAATGTGATATAATACAATAACGTGTACTCATGTACATGGAATGGACCTTGAAATGACCTAGAAACAGTAATACTGATTATGCTACAGAAAAAATATTTATGGCTTGGACATGTATTGAAAAAGGAATGTTGGTGCAATATACACATGTATAAATAATTTTGACAATATGAATAATATATCAAAAACAATTATGTTTACAGACTTTGAGAGAAAAACATACGATGCATGAAAAGTAAACTAAAATATTTGACATATCTAGCTGTTATGCCAGATTTAAACCAAAAAAAGAGTCTTTTCAAATGAAAATATGATAGTCCATGATTGATAATGATGTAACAAACTGAAATAAACTGTGAAGCTGTATAAAATTGTTCATAAACTTGCATTTGCTACAGAGAGTCATTAGCATGCTTGATGTTGTGGGATGCTATTTGTGCAGGACCCAGCACTGCATAGTTACAGCCAGACTTCATGCAATGGTAATGTGTCTGTTTCAGTTCATAGGGACATTTCAGAACATCACACTTCTCACTGACTCCAAACTTTTGAAAACCCTGTGAGTTGATGTTGTCCAGCTTGGCATGGTATTTTCTGTGAGTGAGGACTTTGCTGGAGTCTGTGCAGTTATAGTTACACTTCAGACAGTGGAAGTGGGAGGCCTTGCCTTCAAATTCACAGGCATCACGTCCACAAGGCTGGTTCATTCTGAACTGCTGCATCTCTCCGCCAGTTAGACTGTCGATTCTCTCGTGCCTTAGCGTGTGCTGAATGAGTCGAGATCGATCGCTGAAGCTGTAGCCACAGTCTGGACGCCTGCAGTGGAAGTGAGTGATACCCTGGCGATAGGCACATTTAACAAACTGACAATCATCCTTATGTCTGACTCGGATATATCCATCAGGAATACTGTCGTCTTTGTTGCTCTTGCTACTCATACTACCACTGCTTATTCTTCTTTGTTTGACAACAATTTCACCACTGTCAACAAAATCATTATGTTTGGTTCTCACTCGTTTTCTTCCTGACCTCTTAGAAATGCTGGTAACATTCTCTGACATGTTGCTGTCATCAGCAGAAGCCTCAAAACTATTTTCGTCGATCGTCTCCTCTTCAACGTTATTGCTACATTCAGCCTCAGATATAACCAATTTTCCATCTTCATCATCATCTGCATCCAAATTATTGTTTTGAAGATCAGATGTGCAGTGAGCTTTTTGAGCTTTAGCAATAAGATTTGAGAAGGTGGATGGATTCAGATTAAGAGAGTCTGAAGCATTGAGTTCACCTTCCAATGAATTATGCTCATTATCAGAATCCTGGACTGAACCTTTCTCTAGGTCAGAGGTCACGTGATCCTGGTTTGTAGCAGTTGGCATTTGATCAGGCTTTGGTGCAATGGTTATGGGAAAAGCTGTCTTTCCCACTAATGGCTGGGTGTCATTTTTCCCAAATTTCAATCCATGTTTAGAAACATGTGCCTTCACTCTGTTCATGTCAGAGAAAGCTTGATTGCACTCAAAACAATGATAGTGGTCCTTCTTCTTGAGTTTGCAAAATGGTCGACCACAGTTTTGTTCCAAACCATAATGCATCTTGTTCTTAAGATCAGTCCAGCTAGGTTGTGGAATAGGGTTTCCCCCTTGCTGCAAAAGAACAGCCAAAGGTAGAGGGTGTCCTGCACTAGCTATCAGACCAGGAGATAACATGGTTGGAGCAATGGCTGCTGATACCATGGGCAGAGCTGTGATTGCACCAGAAACTGACATTGGGTGGAAAATAGTTGAATCTAAAGCTGGAACTGAAGGCATCTGACCACTTGACTGTCCAGATGAAATACTTGATAAAGGATAAAATGTTCCTGATGTTTTGATCAAAGCTTTGGCATCAGCCGGGGCAATGGGAATGAATCCAGCTGTGGAAATGGTCTCCGAGGGAGGGACTAGAGGGTCTTCTTTGCTTGCGCTGGGAGCCTCTGTCTGCTCGTGCTTCTTGTTGTGCTGTATCATGGTGCTGTGACGGACAAAGGAGTAATCACATTTAGGTCTCACACAATGGAAATGACGATTAGCCTTGTTGTTGTGGCAATGTGGCCTGCGACAATTGACGTTTCTATCGAAGAATTCAAAGCCCTCATAAATGGTGACAAAGCTATGGAAATCTTTGGCATGCAAATTGAGGACATCTAGCCTGTCAGTGGCCTGGTAACATCGCGGGCGAGCACAGTGATAATGTTCCTTCATTCTGTAAAGGCACAACTCGTCTGGGCAGGGATTGTTCTCTTCAAATTTTTTGAATCCATTGATAACTGTTGGGTCTTCACCAGAAGAATTCAGCATCTCAGACTCGGTGAGTTCTACCTTGGGGATGACAGGGATGGTATTACGGGGATACTTTGGTGGGCGACCCCTCTTTCTTGGTGTATCTTCAGTTGATTTTGGTGAAGTCTTGTATGTCTTTCCAGCAGAGCTTCGAGCATACTCATGAATGCGGTAGTGTTCCAGTCTGCCAAATGTGGGGCCTTCATGTGGTACAACATGCGTGCAACCAGACTGAAATAAAGGATAGTATGAATAATCTATCATTATAGAACTGACTTCTTTTTTTCAAATACTCATTGTTCGTTACAAGTGTAATCAAACCATTGTTTTGTTTGCTAGCTGTCAAACGGAAAAGAAAGTTTTTAGAAAAATATTTATTGCATTTTTTAATGGATGATCAGCTTAATACTATCTGGATTTATGAACCCTGGATCCAGGTGCTGCAAACTTCACAATTTAGGAAGAAGTCTATTGTATATTATCATCATAAAGAAATAGTTAATTGCAGCACAGTGTATTAGGATAACAACTGTAAAATGTACTTTGTGCAATGATAAATGAGAGTCAATATGATAAGTACTCCTTACCCATATGCAGTGGTAGTGCCTCTGATTGCCGCTATACTGACAATTCTCTGGGCACACCTCTGTGTCTGAATACATAGTATATGCAACAGGAGTGATACGGTCTTGTAATTCATGAAATCTACAAAAAAGATTTTAAAATTATTTTTACATAGTATAAAAATAAACACACAAGGAAAAGTCTTTGACAGGCTGTATGCATGGACATCTACACATCACAGAAGAACGATGGCCGATATGAGCCGTCAAGTTACAAGTAAGAGTACATTGTAACTCTAACTTATGTGCGCAGAAATAAATGACTTTAATATTTTACCTGGCATGTTCTCTAACACCATCTTTAGACTTAAATAAGACCAGACATCCCTCCACTCGGCAGTGATAATGGTCCTTATACAGGTACTGACAGCGAGAGTTACAGGGGTCATTGGCTGTATATCTGTCAACATAAAGTCAACACTGTAATACTTCATACGATAGGCAGCATCCCTTGAAATCAGATAAATCTATTTCTGTTCACCAAATTTTATCTTATTATTTCTACTTACCTGATGAGGTAGTTTTTCCAAGATTCGTCTCTCTCCTTGCGTTCCTGAGTGTTTGGGGAGAGTTTGGATAACAACATTGGAGGGACAGAGAGTGGAAGAGAGACCTTGGGAGAGGAGTCTTTTATCCCTGGTATAGTATTTGGCATGATGGAGTTACCAGTCTCAGACTTTGTTGGGGTAGACATTGCACCTGGGACCTGCCCGTCACTTTTCTCGCCCACAGCTGTACATCCTGGTATAGGTAAAGTAAGGGAGTCATTCAGTTTCTCCCCACTAAGCTGATCTGCATGCTTTGACAAAATCATGGCTTCTTCCTCTGACTGGGTAATATCTTTGGTGTCAGAACAATCTGACTTCAGACTTTTCACATCAGAATTACTGTCCTCCATCGATTGTTCAGACATGGGGACCTTGGAGTCACAGCTTTCCTCCTTAAAATCATCTTCCGTGATTTCTGTTTTAATTGATATTGGGAGGGACATATGACTAAGGGGACTAGATGTGAAGGAGGAATTTTCTCCGACTACACCTCCCCCAAACTGCAGACTGGAATCCATGTCGGTGCTGTCCTCTCGAAATTTTCTGTAGGCGGTCTCAAAATCTCGACGTTCATGCTTTCTCTTATGGGAAAACAATTGAGCAGTAGAATGCAGAACATAAATACAGCCTACAAAATAGGGGAAAAGATGCTTAGAACATGGACATACAACTGTGTAATTTAAATGCATTCTTTTAATATACATTAAATTTTGTGTTGTTTTAGTTTCTAAAAACTTACCTGGTCTGATGCAGTGGATATGATTACTGAGTTTGGAATATCTACAGCCAATGTAACCACAGTGTTCATACTTCATAAACTTCTTGAAGCCGTCACGACCCAGTACTTCATCCTTCTGGTGGTAAGTTTTGTGTTTTTCTAAAGCAAAACAAGAACAAGAGTTACTCCCCTTTCTTCAGAGCATATTTTCTTCAAAACACACAACAGGCAGCAAAATAACTAAAACTCACCCATGTCTGCTTTGTTTTTGAATGTAAAATTACATCCTGGTCTTCTACAATGAAAGTGAGTTGTTCTCTGGCCATAGAAAGCACACATTGGTGTCCCACAATCCTCTGTGGCCCGGAATCTCTGGAATCCTTCCTGTATGATGGCGGAATCTTTTCTGTGGTAGTTAGCATGCATCTGGACATCTGAGGTACTGATGTAAACTTTATCACATCCAGGCTTGAAAAAATAAATGGGAGTGTCAAAAAATACATGTACATAGGTGCCTTTATAGCTTACCATTATGACTGACAAGGTAGATCATAATGACAAGGAAGTTCTACCTGTAGACAGTGGTAGTGAGTTTGGCGGCCATTATGTGTACAGCTACCATATTTCTGACAGCAGTCATCTAAGGGACTGTACCGCATGAATCCATGCTGCAGGGACTCCTCTCTCTTGCGGTGCCACTTGTAATGGCGGACCATCTCTTCCTTCTTGACAAAGACACGGAAGTTACAGTCCATACAGTGGAAGTGTTCTCTGTATCCAAGCTCCTTGCAGTACTTAATCTTACACTCAGTACCACTGCTAAACCTACAACATAGCAATATATCCTTAAACTTACACTCAGTTCCACTGCTAAACCTATAACAGCAATATATCCTTAATCTTACACTCAGTTCCACTGCTAAACTTACAACATAGCAATATATCCTTAAACTTACACTCAGTTCCACTGCTAAACCTACAACATAGCAATATATCCTTAATCTAACACTCCGTACCACTGCTAAACCTACAATTAACATAGCAATATATCTTCACAGTGCTTAATCTTACACTCAGTACCACTGCTAAACCTACAACATAGAAATATATCCTTATATATATATAGGAGATTAGAAATGAGCATCTGCTCTTCTGATCCAAACTAGAAATATCCTACTGAGGACTAAACCCACTTGCAGGCCACATGCATTTGGAAAAAATATCAAGGACAGAATAACTTTGGTTGCAATATGAACAAGATATTTTATACATTGCAAGTGATAAGCTGGGAACAGAACAAAATACTGTCTTTGACAAAATTTACTGTGTCATAAAATGTAGGTCAGATGCAGCATACCAAGCATAGAAGAAAAAACTTTTGTAGATGTACAATTTCAGCAAGCTGTGATAAGCTTGGAATAGACCTTAACCCCAATACATGTTGTAACCTGTGGATGTACAGACAGATGACCAGACAAACTGTCAAGGTCAATCCAATACCCCCACCCCACCCCCCACCCCCTTACAGCTCAGAGGTGGAGACAAATCTTACCTTTTAAGGTATTTGGAATAGTCAGGAAGTCCGGGGTGTTTGATTGGGCTCGGGGAACCAGGGCTCTGGTTGTTGAACACTGCCTTAATGTAGGCTGCACTGTTTGTAAATTTATCATCCTTTATCACTGTAAAAAAAAATTGAATAAGAAATATTTCCGTTTCATGTTAGCTACAAAGATATATATGGTATCATGGTATGTGTCCAACTAAGGACATTTATCATAAACTTTTGGTTCTATAAATGTGTTCAGATTTGACAAATTATAAAACTAAAGTACTCAGGTTATTGCAAATGGTGTTAAAAATGGAGTATATCTGCAGCATTAATAGCTCGGAAAACCACATATTCTCAAAAAATTATAAATACATGTAAATGATAAAAATGCAGAGTGAATTTACTGACATTCATTAATTAAAAAAGAAAAAAAAGCTTTTAATAACAAAGTATAATTAAGACCACGGAAATATGCAAAAATTTTAACCATTAAGAAAATTTTGCAATGCCTTTTTATTTTCCACATACTTGAAGTATCATTTGTTCTCTACCACAAGCATTAAATAATAAGAAATTTATTAATCATACATATTTCCTGTCTATATTTTTGTTAATTCTTTTAAGGAGTTCAAGTTTCTGATCTTTCAAAAGATTAATATTTGACTGTTTTTGAAAACTTTTCTTTATAAAATTCATGTCCCTTTAAATCTTGGACAAAGTTCAACAATAGAAGATTATGTACATTTTTACGTGTTCAAACTGTCGTTTCTGGAGGAAAATTGTTCTGTTTTTAAATGACAGCTTAAATTGTGAATAAAAGTGAAATAAATCTTCAATGCTGTCCATTTTGGCAGAATTTCAAAAACCTGATACTGTTCTCAAGATTGAAATCGTTTTCAAAAATAGAATTAAAAAAAACCAAAAACACAAATTGTATAAAACAGTAATTGATGAAATGGTATCCTTTGTTTTTTTAATTTTCAATTTATGATGTATATCTTCATTATCATAAATATTTAACTTCACAGAAGTTTTCTTTGTATAAAAAAGTTACATCAAATGAGAAAAACTAATTTTCATACCAATCTTCTTGACACTTTGGAAAATAAATTTTCTTGAAACAACAGAAAATGACAAAATCTTGTATATTTAATTATAAAAACCTTCCATCAACATCAGCACATAACTAAATGACAATATGTCAAGAAATTAATAAATTTCTTGAAATTTTAATTGCAAATTTTTAAAATTTGAATATTAAATTTGTGTAAATGGAGATCATCAGAAAATTTTGAATTTGTCTACTTTTAACTCAAACTGCTTCTCTGCCTGTACATAGAGAATTTGAATAATTCTTGAAAATTCGAATAGAAAAAAATAATAAAATTAAATAATGAAAGGCCAAAGAACAAATTCATTAAATGTTTTGAATTTATTATGAAAACATGACTTAGATGACAGAATGATTTACAGACTCAATTTTCATCTAATTAAGACAGGGTAATAAAAGAAAAAAAAGAATGCAAAATACAACTTTTTCAACAGAATCCGTGTATACTAGCTGGTTTATAAAAGAGAACTTTAGGATGCTCTTGTACATATAGCATGTTAAGTAACACAGAGGAACTGAACTGTGAAAGGAATGTCTGAAAGATAGTCATTGATCAAAAAGCCCACTTTCTTCTTTCTCTTTGAAAGTGTGCACATTTATTTATTTTGCATATTTCAAATCTATAACCTCCCTCCCCAACCCCCCATTTTTTCACTGGTATCTCATCAAAAATACCCTTTGGGGTTCTTTACTTTCAAGAAAGAATGTCTTGATCTGTATGAAAAGATCTTTGAACATGTATTTTCAAAAAAGTTAGAGAATCAAACTTGTGTTGACATATAACTGAGTCCTTAGAGAATGTTATAAATATACCATCAATAGAGTAACTTTATAAGGGGAAAAAAATCACATTGATAAAAATTTCAATATTTAGACAAATTTCACACTTCAATCTCATTATAGATTAATCCTTAACCCACAGAAAATACATTTACATTGTGTCTGACACACATTAATCTTTACCTTTAATGATTTCAGTTTTTCACCTTAATATATACTGACACGCAAAAGAAACACAAGTAGTTCAGAACAAATATTTAAAATTTTTTATCTATTTTTATTTACTCATATGCACAACTCAATACAGATTTTAACAGTAAGAAATAATGATTAAAAACAACAGAGTTGAAGTCCATTATGTAACTACAGAAAGTAAAAGATAACTGTTTGCCCCCCCCCCCCCCCCCTACATTCAATAGTGAGTATATCCACCATGTACATCAGTTGTGGCTCAGATTCTATGATGGATACAGAGTTTATCATTTTCTTGATTTGAGCAAAAGAAATATTATGTCTGTATTCTTGATGTGCCTGTTTTTCAGATGCTGTATTTCAATTCCTGGATGCTATGCAGAGTAGTAACCCTTGGTTTTCCGGTCCATGGACTGTCATCAGTCAAAACAGTGAGACATATTCGTATGTAGAGGTGTGACATAGTATGAATTTGCACCTCCAACACTCTTTCAACTGCATTTGAAAATTCCCTGCTAGAGGTACTTGCATTCGCATGCTTACAGTCACTTTCAGGGAGCCTAACCATTACTTATGGTAAAGAACAAAAACTTTTTTATTGGATTGATGCTGCAATACTTATTATGATGAACAGAACAAACTCCTGAAAACCCAAATTATTTATAAGCCAAATTTGTTGTAAAACCTGCAATTTAATGATTCCGTTTAATCAGGGTAGGAAGTCTGTCAGGTGGGACGTTAGCAGTGCCCCATCCCAAGGATCACAACCCCCTTGGAATGAAAAAAAGATTGTTTCTCTGGTATTTGAAAAAGAGAAGGCTCACGGGGGGGGGGGGGGGGGGGGGGTCCAGAAAAACCAAAAAATTTTCAAAATTAGTCATAGGACTTTTTTTTCCTAAAAAAAAAAAAAAAAAAATAACGGATGTATTCTTTTGTTTTTTTGTTTTTTTTTTTTTGTTTTGTTTTTTTTCTTTGGTGTGTCAGTATATAGATTTTTGATTTTTGATTTTAAAAAAATTGTAATAAGCAAGCTGGCAGTTTCAAAATGGGCCACCTCTTGAAACTGAGTATTTATCCAAAATGGGACCTTAGACAGATCATCGATTTTTCTCTTTTGCACCTTACATCTCTATAGGGAATTTTTAAAAAAAATTGTGAAACCAAAGTTTCATGGGAAACATCATGTCTGCTATTTTTTAGAAATGTGAGGATTTTAGTACACCAACTTTTGACAACAAGAGAATTGAAATACTTCATTTATTTTTTTCAGGGCTGTTCGTTGATCATCAGCAAATTTTTAAGAAGAAATGCTTCCTTTTTGTGTCTATATGCCTTTTGATGTGACAAGTCAAATTTAAATCACTCTCCACTACAAGTGGAAAATTTCATGTCATATTTGCAAATACTATTTTGGCTTGCTATATTAAAAGTAAAGGAAAATTTTGGAGAGAATTTTCTTCCAATTTTATTTCTTCAATATATATACTCATCATCACAAAAACAAATACTCAAATAAGTAAGTTTTATATCAGGTACAAGGGACCCCCTCCCCCCTCCCTGTATACATCAAGTAATTTTGAAATGATAAAAAAGGAATTTTTTTAAAAAAAAATTAAACAGTTAAACTAAGAAGTTTTGCTCAATCACTATTAAAATTCAAAATCTTCCTATGAAAAAATATGAGCCCAATAATATATTAATAAAAATATATATTTAAAACTCATCTTATTTCCAGATCATCAGTATTTTACCTAACAGAACACCATAAACACAACAAATGACTTATCAATACAAAGTCTACACAGTTTTAACCTTTTATCATCATCTCATGCTAGAAAGGGGACTTTAGGGACAAACACATTGCGAATTTCTAGAAAAATATTTAATTTTCACACAAAACTCTACAACATTATCCATTACCATGTGACAAAATGGAAATGCTTACCATCATCTCTGACATTAATTGTTGCATAAAATTTTTGTTTATAAATATTTTATTTTTACCAAAACTTAACATTTTATTTTCAGGTATGTAAATGAATTATCCATAAATCTTGTTTCATTATTTACAGCAAAGTGTCGAAATTTTGATACTGACTGAAAGTAAAACTTTCGTTGGTTCGTAGAAATATATATGTTACAGCTATGGTGGCCAAGGGAAATTTGTTGATACAGAATGTCAACTTTTTTCGCAGTAAGCCTGATGTATATATGACATTTAATACCCATAAAATCAGCTGAAACCCTCGATATAATAAAGCCATAATGAAAATCCCATGATCTTTTGATCTATCATATCTAATGCATTATAATAATCGGCATCATCAAAATTAAAAGAATCTAGTGAACAAACAAGAAAATGAAGACAGACTATTGTAATTAGTGTTTAATTAACTTAGCAAGACTTTATAATAATAATTAGTTCAAATTTGCATCTACAATAGACATACATCTACACGCCATTTAAACCAATATATCATCAGAAAGTGTCAAGACTGTATGAAGCTCTTACTCTCAAAAAACTTCCTTAATCATTCAAAAATTCATCTTCTAAAACCTCTTTTTCTCTTTTTGTAAACATAAATTTTATCAATATATTAGCCTAGGCTTATTTAATGAGCAGTATATTGGAGAATTGTATGGAATACAATATTCAATAAAAAATCAATAATACGCAAGTTAAATGACAGACTGATTAACAAAAACTTTTTAATTAGGCTTCCAATTTATCCCCCTGTGTGATATCTGACAAATTTTATGAAATTACCACATTCCAATGTTATTTTTAAATGAACTGGCCAATATATCAACTGACCCTGCATTATTTTTTTTTATAGTGGAAAAGATGTATCTTCTTTTAGTCTCCTTTAATATCTACAGCAAAGCATTTTTTTTTTTACAAGAAAAAAATCAGGAATGAATCACAGAAATTTAGGATATACTGAAGGTATGATAGAATGTCACCATTTCTATAAAAAAAAAAAAAAGTAAATAAAAAATAAACCAATTTTTTTTCGATTTAAGTTAAACAATTTAAGACAATTTAC